TTCCATTGCATACCGAAATCACCTTCTCCCGCATCAAAGCTCGTAAGAAGCGAAAGAAGGACAAGAAGAAGGAAGCCGCAGAAACGATGCGAACATCCAAAGATCTCACTCTCAAGGATAATACTTATTTCACCCTACTGGAATACTCGGTACGTCTTTCATCCCAATTGGCCCATTGGGGAGTTATAATCACTAAAAAAAATACATTCTGTTGTAGGAGGAGTATCCACCCATCATACCCAACATTGGCATGGGCAGTTTGTTCATAAACTATTATCGAAAGCGGGATAACGAGGATACTCATATTCCATCGGTACGTATTGTCAATATACACATACATTACTCCTTTCTCCAGTCAGTATTTTTCACCGACTAATGATGTGCACCCACCCATAGGCGGAAATCGGTGAACCTTTCATCCTGGACCTCAGTGATACTTCCCCATTTTTCAACTTTGGAAATGTCGATCCCGGTCAAACCATCCCTGTCCTATACAACAACCTTATCCGTGCACCCCTATTCAAACACAAGGTCCATGAAACAGATTTCATCGTGTTCAGAAATACCTTTCGCGGCCAGACAAAATACTATATTCGAGAAATTCCTTCCATCTTCACTATCGGGCAAACATACCCTGTGCAAGAAGTCCCTGGACCTCACTCTCGTAAGGTCACAACTACCATACGAAATCGTCTCCAAGTTTCTGCATACCGATTGATCCGAAAAAACCCCCAACATCGCCTAAAAATGAGTAAACTCGCGGCAAAGTTCCCAGAATACAGTGATATTCAAATCCGCCAGCGACTAAAGGAATTCTTGGAATATCACAGACGAAACAAGGAAGGAGGAGGTGGTTACTGGAAGCCAAAGGGCGGTGAGCCGCCCAGCGAAGAGGACTTGCGAAAAATGGTCACTCCGGAAATGGTCTGCCTTCACGAAAGCACCATGGTCGGTGAACGCCATTTGGAAGACTTTGGTTACAGTAATGTCAACGAAGATGACGATGGCGATGGCGATTCAAAACTCGAAGTTGAACAGCAACTCGCACCTTGGTTTGCCACTCGTAACTTTATCAATGCAACGCAAGGAAAGGCTATGTTAAAGCTTTATGGTGCAGGTGATCCTACCGGTAGAGGAGAAGGTTTCAGTTTCATCAGAGTTTCCATGAAGGGTATCTTTTTACGAGCTGGTGAATCTGCTGCTGAAAAGTTGGCTGAAATCGAAGCACGGCCCAAGAGTGCTCACAAGTATAATGTAGCTGAACAACAACAGATTTACAAGGAAGAGGTTAGTATGGCCGGGATGGGGGGGTTGGTGGCGGTGGCGGTGACCGGGCTAGGAGAGGGTTTACAGCGGTGACGGCAACCTTTATTGCACAAGTCGATGCCTCTCTGCCTTCTGCTTTGCCCGGCTTTACCCAGAGTTACCTGGCGTTGTTCGTAACTAACTCTTCCTTCCATAGATCACTAGAATATGGAAAGCCCAGTTCGATGCCCTCACTAACCCCGTCGAACCCATTCTATCAGAGCAAGATATGGAGGAGGATAACAGTGATAACGAAGACTTTGATAGTCCAGGCATGGTAAGTCCTCACACGCACATACATACACATACATACGCACACATACAGAATTCACTCTAATCACGCCTTGTTCAGATGGACCTTGACGACATGCGCAGCTCCTACAAATCAAGTGTACCAGCTTCACCTGCCTCATTCTCAATCCCTCGACGGGCAATGTCAGAAATGGACGATGACGAAGTCTCCGTAGCAGAGAGTATGGGCTCCCGAACAAGCTTCAATCCAAACGCTGCTAACAAACAACTCGTCATTCGCCGCCTTATCAAACAACCCAACGGAGATCGCGTGTGGCAATCGGAAACCGTGACCGATCCGGCCGTCGTTAAGGCATACCTTCGACAGCGACAAATGATTGAAGAGGAAGCTACCAGGTAATGTATCGTGCTGTAACCTGCCTTGTCATTCCCCTGCTCATACTAAATAAATCACTCCTCACAGCACGGAAACTCTGGAGCCGACAGATGACATTGAAAAGAACGCTCGCATGAAAAAGCGCATTCAGGACCAATTGGCAAAACTCAAACGAAATGCAGAGAGAAGACGCCAGAGACAGTTGAATAAAAATGCTGCATTGGCTGAAAACCCTGTCTTTGGTCTGATGCGCGGTAAAAAGGAAGGCGCCATCGTAAGTACTCTCTCAGATCACCCTTTCATCCTAGCAGCTTCACTCAATTGCTTCTTTTTCCCATCGGTAGCGTAAATGTGGTAACTGTGGACAGCTTGGCCATATGAAGACAAATAAGAACTGCCCCATGTTCTACAAAATGAACCCAGAAGCTGGCCCTCCCCCTCCAGATCACAATGGCCCTAATAACCCTCTCGCATTCCGCCAACCAAAATCTCCAACTCTCGGTCCAAAATCAGCTGGACCTACAACTCCTGGCGCCCAGGATGCTCCTTCATTGACATTTAAGCTTCCCACAAAAGCTTTTGGTAAGTCACTTTTGCGAGGTTTGACAGCATTAACGTACGCAATGCAAGTTTTTAACCAAGTCCCCTTAGCATCCACTCCCGCCAAGCGAAAGTTTAGTGATTCTGATCCATCCATTTAAGCCTATACCACTGACGCAGTGCTGTCTAATCCACCACATTGTACATATTTTATATAAAAAAAAAAAGGAGGAGCTAAAATGGAGGAGTTGAAAAGAAGTCGCTGAAAGAGATTGCTGAAATCGCTAAAGAGATCGCTGAATCACTAAAAAAAGAACATGAAATTGCTGAAGGGATTGCTTAAATTGTAAAGAGATCGCTGAATTTGCTAAAGGGATCGCTGAACTCACCAAAGGAATCGCTGAAAACTATAAAAGTGAAAGAGTGTAATCAAAATTACCTACCATCAAAATGCACTTCAGGCATTTAATTACTCAAAAATCGCTAATCGCTGCTCAAAAATTGACCTCCCACTACTCACTTCCTTCCTCTTACCCACCTCCCTACTCCACTTGATATTAAGTCCCTGGTCACTGCTTCCACAGGTACACTTCTCATCAGTGGACATTAGACATCGATCGCTCCAGCTACCATGTAACTTATATATCAGTCTGTCGTCACCGAGTTCGCCATCGCCACAGCATACGAGTTGCTGACCTTCTAATCACTCAAGCCAAGAGTCCACGCTTCTGAAGCCCCACCTTGGCAACCGGGAACTGCAGGTTCGGTACAAAACAATACCGTCATCGAAAGTGTCAGTTGGCCACCACCGCATCGGATTGAACTTTGGTTTTGTAGCTAGTACCACAAACCCTGGGCAGCTTCAACGTGGAGTCCTTGTATGCAATTGACTACAATTGATTGAAGGTTATCCCTTCATTTACCTACCATGTTCTCCACTATATTTATATTGCTATCCTCCTTTACAACCTGACACCTCTGTGCAGCACTTGCAATGAATGTTAATCAACAAAATCATGTTCGAGGCTGCTGCGACATGGACTTTCTTTTTCTAAAAATGCCTTCTAGAAGTCCCGTCTTTCGTTTGTCATGTACCGAGGTGGTGTTTTTTCTTTGGTATTTTGATTATATTTCCTTCCTGGATATGCTCAGGTCAGTGTAAACCGCTCGCTCTCTTATTTACTATCAAGTCTTAGTACATTCACATCTCTCAGCTGAAGTCCTTAACATCGCTTTCGTGTTATCCATCTAGATATTTGCCTACTAATTTTCTGCTTATTTTTATCTTTTCAAAGACGTCTTGTTGAGATTCATTTCATTTTATTTAATAGTAAAAGTTTAAAGTAGATAACTAAATGTGAACCTACAAAAAAAACCAGAGAAAATAAACGGTAACTGCACTGCCCATTATTATCCCCATTATTACCCATCTCGCGTTGGTGGTAATACAAGTGTCCTTGGGTCTAAACTCTTGGTCCAACATCGTGTGAAACGCTTCCCATGATGATGGTGTGACAACTAGGAGGAAGCTTCCACGTATCTCCACCAGGTGAGAGCGTGATCTCTGAGGAAGGCCGTTGCTATAACAAGCCCATCTTCCGCGTCGACCTTGATCGCTTGGATGTATTCACTCATAGCGCAAATCCATCTATCAATAACCTTCGCATCCCGTTCACCACCGTACTTCTCCGGCATCTCAATTTCATGGGTTTTTTCTCACCTTTGGAAATCCTTTTCCATCCTTTCCCGCATCTTCATCAATTTTTGATTTTGTTTCGTAAGCTTTTGCATCACGGCATCCACATGCACTGGCATCGATTCCAACATTTCATGCGTACTGGCTTTTTCTGCAGTATTTCCGGTGTTTTTCTCCTATATGTCGGTCTAGAGCTTGGTGTATGTCTTCGCTATTCATTTTATGAGGTCTTCGGTTACATGCAATCGTAGTCATTGTCGGATCTAAGGTCGTTGAGATCTCGGCTTAACGTACAGTTCTTGAGTCTTGTTATTCCTAAATATCTTCTTTGCCTCTGGCTATATTCCGGTAATCACTTTGCAATCCAGGCTACTGAATAAGATAAACTTGTACCCCCCAAAAAAAAGAAAAAAAAACCCTTAATGTCGATACTACTATACCACAATTCAAGCTCATACCATTTTTACGTCGCTCTTATTCACAGATGACTGAGGATTTCTAACCTGAAGAATTAATGAGGTTTCTTAGAGTTTTCATCGTTGGTCTTAAACCATTCGATGGTCTTGAAAGTCCTTATTTAGTTTCAGTGGATCGCTAATGTCGGGAATTACCTTTTTTGGATATCCGATCAGTAGCTTAATCGATTCAAGCTACCTGTGTCTGATAAGCAATAAATTTGGTCTATGTTAACGAGTACCTTGTCTAGATACTGTTGTAGCCTCCAGGATGCTGTTAGATCGCTCTGGTTCATGTACTTTTTTTTTGTTAGGAATGTTAGGGATAAAATTGTTAGAGATCAACATTAATTTACCTTCGACGGTTTCAACAACAGCTGAGATGGCCGAGTTGGTCTAAGGCGCCGCACTCAAGTTGCGGTCTCGTAAGAGGCGGGGGTTCGAATCCCCCTTTCAGCACTATTTTTGTTGGTGGAGAAAGTAGCTCTGACTTTCATTTTGCTTCTCCATTGGAATTGACTGCCAATCAATTTTCTTTTACTTCTCTCTGCCATTTTCCTCGCTCACACCCTAAAGCTCTTTTTTTGGGAGTCTCACAGTGAGTATACCTTTAGCTGGTACGTCTTCGTGGATATTCTGACTTCACAGATAGGCATTATATATGGATATCCTGAAAATTGAAAAGTACTATTTTGTTTAAGAACAAGCCACCGATGGATATTGAAAATGCAATTGACAGAACGTGAATACCGCTGCTTATATGCTTATCATATTCCCTTCGGAACTTATTGCAACTGAGCCATTTTAGATCGATGTGAAATGCTATATCAAAAAGAATGAGTTGTTCTTCTTTCATTTCAGATTCTATCTTGGAAGTCCATCAAAACACACACACACAGAGAGAGAGAGAGAGAGAGAGAGAGAGAGAGCACACTGACTGATCCAAAGCATTCACTATAAGTTCAGTAGCCGATGGAAAAGACTTGAAGCAGACTAACAATGTCTGATCAATTCTGCGTTCTTTCGGTGTGACTCTCAATCCCTAGGATATGTTGGAACTGGAAGAGTCTTTTTTTTTTTATGTTGTTTGCTTATAATTTCGGCTGACATGCGCTGTATAAATTGCCAGCTGCCACTACTACTGCTGGTTGCTGAAAAATGGCACGCCACCTACACGCCTTCCACTCATGAAGCCGTTATCCAGGTTCTTCAATTGTACTAGTGTCTTTTTATGTCATTAGTGTATTGCGTTTCAACTTGCACCACAAGTAGTTCAACTGAGATGAATAAATCAACAAGTGGGGCAGGCATGTTGTATTTCGACATAGGTATTTTCTGTTTATGGCGATATTAATGATTATTTTTTTGTATCTTGTGCCTACCTATAAGCGGACGACCAACAGGCTTAAGTTGTGTACATTAAGAGACGTCTGCTCCGGCTCTGTGAAGCATTGAGTTACCACAAGTGCATCAAGTAGCAGTTGGATTCAGTGATAAAACGCTTCAGTTTGTAAATCTCGTAAGCGAATGACCAAGAAATAAACAAAAAAATGGCTCAAACAACGTTGTCATCTGGAAGACATTCGAACTAGATTTTACATTTCCATAAGTGTCAGAAAAAATCTTGATGGTGGTGACCATGTTGCATTCATCGCTATCACTGAGAATGATTTTATTGGGGAAAAAAAGAATGTGTGATTGTTTTTGGGAGCACAACCACCATAGTCGCCCACAGTACAATCCCAGATGGTTCCATACTTGAAAAACCTCTATGTGGCAACAGTTCTATACTGCTCATAGCTGTCACAGCATGTATGCCGTCCATGATAACATAGCCTGATATCTCGAGAATACTGATTGGCTATAAAGCAAGACAAATCCAATGGAGAAGCAAAATAAAAGTCGGAGCTACTTTCTCCACCAACAAAAATAGTGCTGAAAGGGGGATTCGAACCCCCGCCTCTTACGAGACCGCAACTTGAGTGCGGCGCCTTAGACCAACTCGGCCATCTCAGCTGTTGTTGAAACTTCGACCACCAATAAATATCTATACAAATGCAACAGACTGTGCAACAAGGAATATTGAATATCTCTTGACTTTATTTATGCATAGTCATATTTAGCAATTGAATAATGTGCTTCATTTGTTTAAAATTATTTTTAGCTATTTTCAGAATCAACAACCTATCATTTTTTTACTCATGCTAAATACGATGTGATTATATGAATGCTACTGTTATGAAAGCGCGAACGATTCTAATATTCAATATCGGCGGTGGCACATGCCTTATTTTTAAGTATGCAAAACTGTTTTTGACTTTAGCGAGTATTTTCTAGTTTTCATGTGCACAGCGAACATAGTTGTAGGCATCGATTAGAAATGATGTAGATTGAGAGTGAGTATTCTGTGAATTGTTGTGGAGGGTTGGCTATAGATTTGAGACATATGGTGGAACAATAACATAGGTTAGCTATCTGTACTCTAATACTTTATATAATTTTTGGGAATGAGAAATAAATTGTAGTTGAGAGTAGTTGAAAATAGCTGTAGCAACTTTGTTCATACCTTGTATTTTATGTATGTTGTTACTGAGCTGATCAAGAAATATTTTTTCGTGTGACAGTTTTACTTTTAGCTGCGTTATATGCAAGCTAATATTGTATGGGCTGGTCTTGGACCAATGTTTCTTGCAGTTGGTATGGACTCTTACTCGCCAGTTTAATTAAGGGAACTTCTAAAAATTCATTTGTACAAAAAGCGTGATATTCATAAGCATTGTATAAAGAGTAGAAATGAGTGTTGAAGGAAAAATAAGGATAGAAATATTTATATGATGGGAAATAAATTCATACAATTGTCTTGCTTTAGGAGAGATTATGAGGCAGTGCAAGAACTTTTTGGATAGAATTTTATCATGGCATCATTATCCGCTGTGGAAAATTTTCTTGGTCTTAAGCTACGATTTGATGAGTTGAAAGATTCGAGTGAGGTAATAGAAGAGTTCCTGCTTTATTTTTCATTTATAAAGTCCCTGTTCCACTATTTAAAATTTTGCCACTCCTTGAGTTTTACAGTTATGTTATCCATGGCTCTGGTAACGTTTGCAAGATATCTATCTTGATGCAAATAGCCGTTTTCAAGATTCGCTAGGGATATATTTGAGATTCTGAAAGAAAGAGGATAGCATTTATGATATGATTCAGAGACAGAAGACCGACGAAAAGAAAAATTTAAAAATTTATAAATGGAGAGGAGAGGAGAGGACTTGTTGTAGGCATCTATGCTATAAGCAATTAAACAGTAAATTTTAAAAGGTTCTAATTCTGCGTCGTCTGAAGTCGTATATATGTTGTTTAAAATAGTAGCGCGTTCAAGTGCTTAACAGTCACTGCGCTTCTAGCTATGTCAGCTCTGTATTAACGATTCCAGCTACAGAAATAAGGGACGATATCTCGAGATAGGCTATGCCTCTTGTGGTCAACGTTCATGAAGTGCATTTTTTTTTTTGACTTTATTCCAGTTGAGCGAGCTTTTTTTTTCTCTTTACTTGATGGAGTGTGTCAGTTTATCTTGTTTTCTGCGTTAGTTGAGAATTTATGTTGTTTTTAAAGTGTTCTTTTTTTCTCCTCTTGATTCTTCATGCTTTTAGTTGGGGTTTCTTACACTCCATCGATTATCATTTGTTTGTCTTTTGCTGTCAGCGTCTTGTTTCTTTATGCTCCGCAAATTTTCTTCTGGGTTTTTTTTTCTTCCCTTTTGAATCTTTCTTTTTGCTGTTCACAAGTTTTTTTTTTTTTTGCCTCCATGCTGTCCGCATTTTTTCTTCTCTCTCTTGATTCGTCTTCAAATTGTTCATTTCATTTTCATATCTTGATGACAACCATGATGATAATTGCGAATCCTCGGCTGCATATATAATCTCTTTTCTGTAGCCGCCCACTAGGTGGCTCGGCAAGTAGGTTAAATGAGGTTTGTTCGAGTCACGATGTATGCCTAATCGTATAGGTAAAGTCATTCAAGTTTTCTGTATGTGTGATGCGATGGTTCCAATAAACATACGTGAGCAAAGCTGCAGTACGAAGGATAGGAAATGTTCGGGAGCAAAAGACTATTTTCAGCTCACCAGATCATTCAATATCTAAAGCACTATGATACTAAATCCTTGGAAACCATATTTATTGAATTTTAAATTGAGAAGATATCATGTGTATGTGATTACCGGGGCCTATATAATCGGGTGGTCGCCTTTCAATAAAAGAGTACGGTTTTGCTGTTTCCGCTTCGAAGTTAGCGTCGCCCAACGATCGCGTGCCGATGCCGTTGACCGTTTTTTCGAAAAGGTCCCGTGGTTCAGAACTTTCGCATACACTGTCTATGACTTGCAACCTACCAGGGTAAGTGGCAGAAGGAATGCCTAGCATTGTCTACGACTTCGGATCCAACAGGATTAGGGTTCCTAGAGCCATGGAGATTAGAAGGAGAAACCAGATTGCGGTCGGCCAGTGAGGAACCACCATCGTGACTTGTGGAATTTGCTCTTGTTTTATTTTCTGAAGCGTTTATAGTATCAGATTCCATGGAGAGTTCATGAATGAGTTCAGGAAGGGAGTCATGTTATCGTTAGCAGAGAGGCTACATGTTCGCCTTCCGCATAGTCTGGAGGTGGGGTTTGAATTTCGTAGCCGTACAGAAGCTTAGTAGCAGTGTACCCCATGGAGTCATTAGGCATAGTCCTCACAGCAAGTAGCGCTGTCTCTAAGTAATTATACCTGTAAAAGCGGGTATAGCTTCTCCATAGGTGTTTCCAGTATCTCCCATCAAGGATTTAATCGTGTCCAGGAAAGTCCCACTAACATGTAAGGTATGTATGGCTGGTAGCAAAGAGGAGAGGGGGGCAGGGCGATAGCCGAGTGAAAGAAACGTTCGATAAGGTACCTGGATTCCGTTTACATTCTGTTCACAGTCCTGTGTTGAAAACGACGAAACTCTCCACGCAGCACAGTCGGCCGTTGTGTATGCCTTTTTGTGACCTTTTTTCAAATCTGACCTGACGATTTCAAAAGGAACAGACCTCCTGTAATTGTTGCATAGTTTTATCATATCTTCGGGGTACACCGTGTTATGCCCTTAAACTGTTGCACCATGCTCAGGGACATATGGTAGATGCAGAGCATGTTTTGCGAGATAATGTGGTTGTCGACCTCAGTTCCCTCCGCACAAAGTCTATTGGGAACTACTAAACAGGATCCGATTAGACCTGTACCGGAGGGAGCTTTGCTGGTCTTGCAAATATACAGCCGTCTCGTCAAAAGACCGTCATCCTTTCGTTTCAATCCTGTGCACAGCGTCTTGAATCACACCGAGAGCTGCTTCTGCAGATTGTCACAGGGCCATGGAGAGAGTATTGTTCAATGGAAGATCCATGTAATCTTTGAGTGAATGCCAGTTACTTCAGAGG